AATAATGGTCTTCTAAAAGAACACCTATTACTCAATGCTTTACAGTTTTCAGTATTCCCCTCAATGCACAGGCCCAAAAAGTATGTTTGCCTTAATGATATGTAAAGTTTAAATCAATAACATATAATCTGTTAAAATCTGTTCAAAACGGCTTGCCTGCTAATTAAAAGCAATCTGTGTTAACCTGCCTGTGCTGGCAGAGGGAGGATCAGTAGCTCTGGCCCAGAACTGATCTGGATGCTGTGATATGGGAGTTGAAGGAGACGTGGCTTTGTTGGGACAAATGGAACTTTCCGGTTGTTTGCTTTTTTAAAAAATTTGTGCTCTGATTCAAATGGTCCTGGCACAGCAGTAGTACTTTAATCTCTGTTAGAGCTGTGGGTGGGGTCTTGCTCTAAAAGTTGAGCACAAAATCCAGACTGAAACTCCAACACCGAGCTGCTAGAGATGCCATCTTGGGAACAAAATATTCACTGCATGTAAATGTAAAAGGACTTGTGGCCCTGCTTTTGGAGAAAATCAGAGATTTCTCTCAAGGACTCTGACCAATATTGATACATCAACCAATCTGCTGAGAACACATTATCTGGGCATTGACTCACTGCTGTTCATGGGAGCATGCCGTGTGGGGAAAACAGCTGTATGTCCTACAACATGACATTTCACCAGAAAAGTACTTGATTATCTGTGAGCATTTGAAGACATTTGTGAGTGAAGGGTGCTATTTAAATGCAAGCTCTTTCTAATGACTTTGTTATATTTTGTACAGGCTTTTGGCTTGCTTGTGTGGGCATTGATTGCTGGTTCAAGAATCTCGCGTGGCGATGCTGCATTCGGATGGGTGATCTTTGTGGCTGTGACCCTGTGGATACTCACTATTGTTATATTTGTCTTCTATGTACTGAGGTTGACTCCGAAATTGCCAATGGTGCCTTGGGCTCATCTGGTAAGTTGTTTTTTTTTTTCCCAGCCTAAAAAGCAGCAAGTCTGTCTGTCTGCTTCTTTCTGTGTAAGTAATGCTTAAGGAACAAGTGGGATTTGTCACTATGGTAAACAGACAACAAACTGTCCAGTGACTTCCAAGGGTTTTTCAGGTCCCTACTTTTTTAAAAAGTTCATATCAGGATGCAAGTTATTTACCACTCTGCAAAAGGAAGCCTAGTGTGCGGTAGTGATCAGGTCAGTGTCATTAATATCTCCTGGCACTCCTCATTCACCTTTTTTATTCCTGATTGTTAGGTAATCAGCCTGAGGTGATATGAGGACAGATTTGTTAGTGGCTCGGTCGTTAGCACTCCTGCCTCACACCACCGGGGACCTGGGTTCAGTTTCACTCTCCGGCAACTGTCTGTGTGGAATTTGCACGTTCTCCTGGTGTCTGCACGCGTTTCCTCCAGGATCTCCGGTTTCCTCCCATAACCCAAAGATGTGCAGGTTAGAAACATAGGAGCAGGAGGCGGTCATTCGGACCTTCGAGCCTGCTCTGCCATCCTTCACGATCATGGCTGATTGTCCAACTTAATAGCCTAATCTTGCTTTCACCCCGTAACCTTTGATCCCATTCACCCCAAATGCTATATCTGGTCACCTCTTGAATACCTTTAAAAAGGGTGGATTGGCCATGGTAAATTGCCTGTAGTGTCCAAGGATGTGTAGGTTAGGTGGATTAGCCGTGGGAAGTGCAGGGATGGGGTAGGGAGGTGTGTTGCTCTTTGGAGGGTTGGTGTGGACTTGATGGGCTGAATGGCCTGTTTCCACACTGTAGGAATTGTTGTTTTTTTTTGTCTGTTCTCTGGTTTATCGTGTGGTGCCCAAAAGGCTTTATTAAATTTGTTTTTCTTTGTGGTGCTTGATGTTCATTGGAGTTTCCCACCTTGTAGATAACAAAGCAAAACCTTGGCCCCAGATGGTGCATTCTTTGGTAACAAAAACAGAAATTGCTGGCAAAACTCAGGTCTGGCAGCATCTGTGGGAAGAAAGCATCAACTTGTTTTCCTTCTTCTTCAGTCTCTGGCCTGATTTTGAAGAAATGCACCATAATTGGACTGTTGCCTTTATTATAGCAATTGTTCAAATGCTGTGTTACAGTACTGTATAGAGAATATAAGATTGGCTGAATATAGCAAAGTGGGGTGATAAGTGGTGTTTTATAAAGCAGTTATTAGCTGGGCATGGGGTCTACAAGGCAAAGGTGAATAGGTTTTTATAAACTATGCAGCTCTGACAAGTACTTTCCCATACAGTATGTTCAAGACCTCCCCAAATTTCAAACTATCTGATGAATTGGATTTCTTGTGTCTCCAAGCTGTATTTTTAAAATAAAATAAAACACTTTCTCAAAGTAGAAGATTTTTTTCCCAGTGGGATGAGTGTCTTTCCCCACAGATATAACATTGTCAACAGGAGTCCCATCCTAAAGCTTGTAGCTGAAAACATGCATTACAACAAAAACACAAACAGTGAAGCGCATAGAAATCAACATTTTTAAACCCTTACCGACTGCATCCTGCACTGTCGAAGCCCTAAATATTGCAGTGCACGTCCATCCAATTCAAATTGTCAGCAAGTTAAGACTTGGTACAGAATGTCAAACGTTATAAATATATTTTTGCCTTTTTGCAAGAAGGGCAGATTCTCAGAGTACCCAATACTCCTGCATAGAGAAGCTGACCTGTATGGTGGAGAGACTTGTAGAGTTATAACTCTGTACTGGACTATGATTCAAAGGCCCCAAGTTCATAACATGTGTTAACCTCACAGGGACTACCAGTTCACTGAACCTCATCCAGCCTGGATCCTGAGAGTTTGTTTTCAATGTGACAAATTTCAAACTTGGGCTTGTGCCTTCTTTTAAATTCTGAATTTGATGAGAGAGGCTTCATTTTGAGATTGTCCTGAGATTCTTTGTAGTGGCTGATCGGTGAGTTGATCACAGTCAAATGTGTGACAAGTTATTTAACTCGGTTCTGCATACTACTGAAATAATAAAGTGACATAAATATTTTTAGATGAAAACTGAAGGGTGGTCTCCTATTTCTGTAACTCTCTTGGCTTAAAACATTGCATGAGGTTCAGCCTATGATAGTTGGGACAACAGACAGCTTAATGATGTTGATAGTAAACCTAACCTATGGTAGAAAATTCAGCGATACATCATTTAAGTTCATATGTGGATAAAGACCCAGTTGGCAAAGGAAGCTAGGCACCTGTAAGCAGCAATTGAACTTTATCTTAAAGGTAAACTAGGGAAAGAAGTGATGCTACTTCTCTACAAATCATTGGTCCGACCACATTTGGAGTAGTATGTTCAGTTCTGGGCACTTGAGGAAGGATATTTGAAGCCCTGGAGAGAGTGCGAAGGAAATTTACTAGAATAATGGCAGGAATGAGGCATTTTAGACACCAGGAAAGATTAGTGAAACTGGGCTTATTCTCCTTGGGGTGGAGAAGATTTAAGAGGTGACCTCATTGAGGTGTTCATGATTTTGAACAATTTGGACAGGGTAGAGGAGGATATTCTGTTTCCACTAGTTGATGTGTTAGTAACTAGGGTTCACAAATTCAAGGTTGTCGGCAAGAGAGCTCCGAGTAAGATGAGGAGAAACTTCTTTACTTGGTCGTTAGGATTTGGAATGCACTGCCTGGGAGATTTGGTTGAGAAAGATTTCCAAAGAGAGCTGGTTATAGATTGGCAAATGGTGAACTTAGAGGGCTACAGAGATGATGCTGGAGAATGGGACTAGCTAGGTAGCTCTTTTGAGATCTGGTACAGCACAATAGGTCAAACAGCCTTGTTCTCTCCTGTAAAATTCCATAATTCTAAAAATTCATATAGCTGGAATTTATTAAATGGTGACATTGCCCTGGATTTCAAATCCTTAATTCCCTTCCCCTTAATCAATGTGGAGTGATGGGGGGAGGTGCTTGACTTAACCCTATTTGTTTACATTTGTGACAATACACACGCCTATTTGATTAAAGAAACTTTTAAATATACTGTAGTAACCTGCAGCTAGTGAGAAAACTTCTTGTACCTTCCTCATTCTGCAGTGTCTGTACTTTAACTTGGGTGCTACAGTTCTGTACTTAACTGCCTTCATTACCAATGCATCATCTGTTGACCCAACATCTCTTAAAGGGACTTACAGATACAACAACAGAGCAGCTGCTGCAGTGAGTATATACCAATATTTTAATTTTTGGCTTTTATCACGTTGGTATTTTAACTTATTAATGTTCAAAATGTGAAAATCCGGCATGAACAGTAATGTAATAAAATTTATTAACCTTGACAGTAGGATAAACAGTACATTTCCTGTCTTGTCCATACGATCTTGCTTGTTATTTTTGATGGCTCTGTTTTGTAAAGCTGTTTAAATTGAACAGGAAATAACAACTGGTTTTTTTTAAGTTTCTATTGTCAGTAGGGACCAGTCACATGAGACTTGCAGGGAATTGACTATATCCTCTCGTATCAAAATTCAAAGTGTGTAATGTTGTACCAACAATGTGAAGTAGCAAAGCCTGTAGAAACTTGATCATTTCAGGAATAATTTTGTGGTTGATTTAACGAAGTCATTAGTCTATTTTTAGTCAACTGATTGTGCTATGTTTAACAAATATATACAATGTGGTTCGTCCTCCATTTAGATGATTTAAGGTTTCATGTTCAACGAAGTTCTGAAATCGAAGATTCCTTGTTGCCAAAACTGAATGGTGCAGGATAAATAACCCCGTAAACGTGCCAATTTGGCTTGAAAATTTGAGGACCATCTGTTACCCTTGAATTACTATTGTCTCGCACAGTAATCACAAAGTTTCTATACAAGTTCAGGAATGGTCATGTCCCTAGTCTTGACACATGTACATATGCAAGGAACATAGGAGCAGGAACTCTCTTCAGCTTGGAATTCCTTCGCATTTGTTGGATTACGACTGATTTTTGTACCTTGACTCTCTTTACCAGCTTTTGATCCATGTCCTTTAACACACTTCCCAACAAAAGTCTATTGATTTTAAACTTGCAGTCAATGTCCAGTCCATTGAAATTTCTCTAGGGGAAAGAATTCTGAATTTGATTGAACTCCTAACAAGCTAACTCTAATCTCAAGATTCTGTTACTTGCCCACTGGGGGAAATAATTTCCATCTATCCCGGTAAACTCTGGTGATGGAGCACAAACATCTCATTTGCAGTTCCAGCCTTTTCCAGTCAGAATGCTAGTGTGAAAAAGAATTCTTAGACATGATACTTGGCATTTATCCCCAAAATAAAAATCCTGCACTTTCCAAATGAAAAATGATATTTTAATAAAAAGCATGTGCTCTAAATGAACCTATTCAAAAGGTACAGCTACAGTAGGGTTATAGATCTTTGCTCTGAGGAAGGGTCACCGGACCAGAAACGTTAACTCTGTTTTCTCCTTCACAGATGCTGCCAGACCTGCTGAGCTTTTCCAGCAACTTTGTTTTGTTCCTGATTTACAGCATCCGCAGTTCTTTTGGTTTTTATTTGTTATAGATCTTGCCTTGAGTCCGAGGAAGAGGCTTTATGGTTGCAACTCTTGCTTCTCATACAGCTGAAATGATAACTTATCCTAAATGTGCTGTTTGAAACTATACATTTTTACGACGTGAATCAATTGCTGAAAAGTGATTTTAATTCTACTTCTCTCCCCGCTCTTTCCCTACCCCCACCACCACCACCTTGCCTCACTCACCTTTCAGCATGTCAGCAGCTTGTGGGGAGAAGTGGAGAAGGGAAATCTGTGCTGCTGGGTCTAATGATCTGCTTTTCCTCCAGTTCTTTGCAGGTGTAGTGATGATCTCGTATGGGATAAGTACTTTCCTCTGCTTCCTCTCCATGCGAGGACAGGGCAGCAATGCAGCAACAAGTCAGTCAACTGGAAGTAATTCAGCTTAGGAGTTTTTCATCAGGCTGGAAGTTGCAACGTATTCTGCTATACACTTATTTAAATAAGCAGATTACGTGCTGTCCCAGTTATCTCCAAAAACAACACCATTTCCAGCTCTTGATTGAGGTTGGTTACAGTCTCTAAATACACTGCAGTTATCCAGGAGCAGAATAATTCGTCTTGCTTTTATTTTGCATTTTTGAGAATACTTCAACCTTTTTATAAAGTTTTCCCTGCTATAATGCTTCACTCACTATAATATCACTTTACATGAAGCATTTACATGATGTGTTTTCAAACTACATGGATGTGAACTGCATCACAAGCATTTTGGACTATTTGCTTACACAATAATTCGGAGTGTTGTTTAAACATCCTTGAGGAATGAGGCACCTTGGCTCCTCTGGACTGGGTGAAGATGGTGTAGCACTTGACTGGATAGCCAGGAGGTGGACCTGATGCTTGGCTGGTTCAAGATTGGATTATCTAGGGTAGGTCAGCAGATACTCCAACCCCTTCCAAGGTTAAGGGTACCTAACTGATCCTGATCACTATCTCTACTAGCACTTGCTGTTTATATATGAATGTTGGTAAGCTATGGTCAAACAGCCTGCCAGTGCCCAGTATTGTAACATCACATGTAGAGTGGTATGACAGCATTGGCAATGCTGTCTAGAGTGAGAGGACATTGAAAATTCAACTGTACTTTCAACAAAATGTTGGGAATATTTGTCATTAAGTATGCAGTACAATTCAAAGACATTTGTATCTCCAAGAAGCAGAATGCAGATTTTTCAAATTGATCCTTTCATATCCCTTTGAATCCATAAAGAATGCAGAACTTTCCAACATTAGATTCATTTAATCACACTCAGCCTATCAATTACTCTGGAGGCATGAACTAGAGATTCTACTCGCTCTTGCAAATAGTTTAAAGGAATTAAAACTGTTGTGAACTTCATTCAAAGATTTGGACTATGTTTATTGTTCTTGGTGCCATCACAAACCACTGACAACAGTAGATACAGTTCAAATGCATTGGAGTTCTAATGTATAAAGTCAAGACTGTTGGTCTAGGGAAGAAAGGTGAAGTGGGATTGGGAGGAGACCGAGGTAAGGATTGTAAAGTACTGCTGGGGTGCTGATCTCACCTTTTTTGCTATTGTGGAGATGCCTGAGCAGGCATTCAAAGTTCAGTGCATGATGGAACCTGGCACCTGACCCTAAGTCAACAGTTGACATGTGGCTCAAGAAAATTTGGCCACAGCAGAATACAAACTCTTTAGATATTTGGTTTATTTTATTTTTGAATGAAACCAAGGTATTTAATTGGAAAACAATGTCGCTCCTTAAAAAGGATACAGAAGCATAAAAGGTTGGTCAAAGCAGAGTCTTAAAAGGAGAGAGAGAGGATGGATTATGGGAGGGAAACCAGAACATGAAGTCCTGGTGGCTGAAACCATGTGTGGCAATGTTGGTATGAGGAATGCAAGAGTGTAAACCAGAGCTAGAGGGATAGTGAGAGCAAGATGTGAAGGGGTTAGAAGACTGCTGGAGATCCCCACTGATTTTGTGGGGTTCAATAGGGCAAAAATCGAACAATTTTTGTTTGTATCTCTAAAATGTATGGCTCTACAAGTGTATGTACTGCAACTTAAAAACTCAATATTGGGCAAAGTGGAAGAAAAATTAAATAGTATAAGGATTGCAATAGCAATCTTTCAAAATAGATTTAAGTTTCTGTTAGCTTACAGTCTAAAACCATTATCTATTGCAGCAATAACTTTACTCCAAAATATGCGCAAAGTTAGTGAACATGAGAAATTAATATTTCAAAGCAGTTCTCATTTGTACAGATTAGCTGTAATTTTGTTCAAGTACTCCCAGCATTGTAAAAATGCACTATTTACTTTCTCCAGTATGTGGTGGTATGTATTTGCTGTTGCTTTTCCAAACTTCATTTCTTAAAATGCAAAACAAATGCTTGTGGTTTCTGCAGCATATTGATTCTAATTAACACAACCATTTAAAACATTTTAAAAACAATGCACTGATCTTATTTGTAAATATCTTCCTGAATTATATTTACAGTATATAAAAGACTTCTCATTCATTTACACATGATTTTTAATGTCACAACATTCTAATAAAAGGAGTTTGTCACAATCCTAAAATCTTGTTGACTTTGTTCCCTTTTTAGGGCTTTTGCCCATTTTCCTGCTATTGACTTCATATGGGGGGTATGGTGATTGGGCTGAAACTCCAGTGGGTGGGCCTTTTTTGTTTTATAAACACCTGGCCTGAGAAATTTCAACTACAGGATATGGTCTGAACAGTCCCCAGTAAGTACTCTTCTGCAGTTTCGAGCAAAGGTCATTGGATCAGGAATGGGAGCCCTGGTCAATTTCATGCCTTCCCAACCCCCTATCCCCCTCCAATGCTGATCCCAGGTGTAATGTTGTGTTGGTATCTGATCCAGAGAATGGTGTACACAAGAATCTTGGGATACAACCCTGTATCTGTCCCCATTAATTACAGTACTTTGTTTTAAACTTTTTTTTTTCTGAACGGTCTTGTGGTGCAGTAGTAGTGAACCTATCTCTGGTCCTGAAGGCTTGGGTTCAAGTCCCACCTACTCCAGAGATGTCAATAACATGTCTGAAGTGTGATTCAAAATATCCAACAGAACTCTGGGCTCTTGTGGGATAGTGGTAATGTCCCTACCCCTCACCCACAGGCCACCTGCTCAAGAAGAACTTAATAATATCTCCGAACAGTTTGTTTAGAAAAGACCTATCCTAAGAAACTCCTATGGCAATTTGCTGAGTTTTGATGATTGACCTTCAACTGCAATTAAATTTGAAAGATTTTGCACCAAATTTTTTGGTCTGATCTGCAAAACTACTTCGATACACTGTAATCACAATTTTCTCAGTTACTCCACCTTGTGTTTATATAATTACCCTTTTTCATGATGGGGAGGTGCTGATGTCGAACTGGGGCGGACAAAGATCCGAGGTCAATTGATATCAGGTTATAGTCCAACCGGCTTATTTGAAATCACAAGCTGTTGGAGCCCTGCTCCTTTGTCACTCCACAAGCTTGCAATTTCAAATAAACCTGTTGGACTATAAGTTGATGTTGCGTGACTTCCGACCTTACCCTTTTATAATGCAGCAAAGTACGTCCCAAGGAATTTCCCAGCAGCACAATCAAAGATGAAGCACTTGTAGTAATCCAAGGATGTACGAGAGAGGGTCTAGAAGGCCCTAAATTTGAGGTACCTGCCAATGCTGGAATAAAGGGAAAGGCACAAGCTACTTTAGTCAGAGAAATCGGTGCAATTAAGGCCTGATAGCAGACTAGGCATTGTTACACAAACGTTATAGATTGAATAACTCAGTTTGTTTTCATTTTAAATAGAGTTTAATTCACCCTAACCTTGTGTATACTGTTTACAATGTACATACTCTTATCAACTGGTATTGATGGTGGGGAAAGGGAAATAGGTGTAATATTGCTATTTTAGTACAAAGTACTTTACACCAAACTACTGTGGAGGAACAAAACAGTTCCCTCACTGGGATGGGAAAACTGGCAGTACCAACCTTTGATCAATAGAATAGAATGTATTGGCTGCTCACAAGGCTAGTAACCATAGAGACATCAATAACGCCTCCTAACCTATTCTGCCAAACTGAACTATAATAGCAGGCAGCTGGTGAGGCCACAAAGGAGGAGACTAAATATCTGCACGCTTTCAAATTACACGTCCTCACCAATAGCTGTACTATTTCTCTGCTGGTTAAGGCAACCACTGCTTATACTAATCAAGACTTCAGACATTTTTGGGTAGTATGTGTCTTCCAGCATCGGTGTTCTGACTTGGGTGGTACTCTGAACTAATGGCTGTGTTGCCTTCTAGACTGATCTAAAGAGCTGTCTTTCAGAAATAGCTCCAAAAAATGTAAGGCTAGGCTTTGGACCATGTGAATGAGAGTAGACTGTGACCTTATGGTATTATCACTAGACTATGAATCCAGAAACTCCGCTAATGTTCTGGGGTTGGAAACCCAACACAGCAGATGGTGAATTTGAATTTTAAAAAATTCTGGAATTTGAGAATCTATTTTTGACCACTAATGACCTTCAGGGAAGGAAATTGGCCATCCTCATGTGATCTGGCCTACATGTGACTCCAGACCCACAGTAATGTGGTTGATTCTCAAACGGCCCAGCAAGCCATGCAGTTGTTCCAACATATACGAAGTCTCAACAAAGGGAAACTGAACGGACCATGCGTCATTGACCTAGGCACTGGAAACACCAGCAAAAACAGTCCCGTTGACCCTGCAAAATCCTCCTTACTAACAGCTGGCTGCTAGTGCTAAAATTGGGAGAGCTATCTCACAGACTAGTCAAGCAACAGACTGACAGTCATATTCATGGAATCATACCTTATGGACAATGTCCCAGGCATTACCATCATCATTCTTGGATATGTTCTTTCCCACTGTTGTGGTACAGTGGTATACAGCTGGGGCGCAGTTGCCCTGGGAGTCCACAACATTGACTCCAGACACCATGAAGTCACAGGTTGAACATGGGTAAGGAAACCTCCCTCTGCTGATGAATCAATACTCCTCCATGTTGAACTACACTTGGAGGAAGCACCAAGGGTGACCACCGCATAGTCCTTGTGGAAATGAAGTCTTGTCTTCAAATTGGGAATATCCTCCATTGAACTGAGTGGCACTATCACCATGTTAAACAGGACAGGCTTTGAACAGATCTAACAAATCAAAACTGGGCATCCATGAGGCACTGTAAACCATCAACAGCAACAGAACTGTAGTCCAGCACAATCTGCAATCTCATGGCCTGGCTTATGCCCAACTCCGCTATTAATATTAAGACAGGGAATCAAACCTGGTTCAATGAACAGTGCAGGAGGGTATGCGTGGAGCAGCACCAGGCATACCTAAAAATGAAGTATCAACCTGGTGAAGATGCCAAACAGCAAAAGCAGCAAGTGATCGACAGGGCTAATTGATCCCACAACCAAACAGATCAGATCTAAGCTCTGCAGTCCTGCCACACCCAGTCGTGAATGGTGGTGAACAATTAAACAACTCACTGGCGGTTCCACAAATATCCCCATCCTCAATGACAGAAGAGCCCAGCACTTCAGCGAAAAAGATAAGACTGAAGCATTCACAGCAATCTTCATCTAGAAGTGCCAAAGTGGATGATCCATCTCGGTCTCATGTGGTGGTCCCCAGCATTACAGATACCAGGTCTTCAGCCAATTCGATTCACTCCGTGGTATCAAGAAACTGCTGGAGGCACTGCAAAGGCTATGGGCCCTCACGACATTCCGGCAATAGTACTGAAGACTTGTGCTCCAGAACATGCCGCTCCCCTAGCCAAGCTGTTCCAGTACAGTTACAGCACTGGAATCTACCTGACAATGTGGAAAATTGCCCAAGTACGTCCTGTACACAAAAAGTAAGACAACTGCAACCTGACCAATTACTGCCCCATCAATCTACTCTCGATCATCAGTAAAGTGATGGAAGATGCCATCAACAGTGCTATCACACAGCACCTGCTCAGCAATAATCTACTCAGTGATGCCCAGTTTGGGTTCTGCCAGGGGCACTCCTGACCTCATTACAGCCTTGGTTCAAACATGGACAAAAAAAAGAGCTGAATTCCAGAGATGAGGTGAGAGTTGTAGCCCTCAACATCAAGGCCGCATTCAACCGAGTGTGGTATCAATGAGCCCTAGCAAAACTGGAATCAATGGATACCGGGGGCAAACACTTCACTGGTTGGAGTCATATCTGGCATAAAGGGAGATGGTTGCACTGACAAGTGGCAAGTAACATTTGTGCCACACAAATGCTAGTCTATGATCATCACCTATAAGAAACAATCTAACCACTGCTCCTTGACATTCAATGGTGTTACTATCACTGAATTCTCTATTATCAACATCCTGGGGGTTACCATTGACCAGAAACTCAACTGGATTCACCACAAACACCGGCTACAAGAGCAGGTCAGAGGCTAGGAATACTGTGGCAAGTAACTCACCTCCTGACTCTCTAAAGCCTATCCATCATCTGCAAGGCACAAGTCAGAAGTGTGACGGAATACTCCCCAGTTACCTAGATGGGTGCAAATCCAACAACACTCCAGAAGCTTGACACCATCCAGGACAAAGCAGCCCACTTGACTGGCATCACGTCCACAAACATCCCCATTCCCTCCAGCACTGATGCTCAGTCGCATAAATTCATCAAAGATCCTCAGAAAGCACGTTCCAAACCCCCACATATTTTATCTAGAAGGACAAGGGCAGCAGATACATAGGAAAACCACCAGCTGCAAGCTCCCCTCCAAGCCCCTCATCATCCTGACTTGGAAATATATTGCCATTCCTTCACTGTAGCTTGGTCAAAATCTTGGAATTCCCTCTCTTTGGGCATTGTGGGTAAACCCACAGCGTATGGATTCAAGGAGGCATTTCATTATCACCCTCTCAAGGGCAACTAGGGATGGGTAATAAATGCTGGCCTAGCCCACAATGCCCACATCCCTCAAATGAATTTAAAAAAATGCTGGCATTGGAAGATGTCACAGGTAAGTTGAGTGGCACCATCTTTGTTATTCCAGACCAGGACTTCACTTTTGTTCCCTTGCAAATGCAGGAAATGTAACAACTTTTACCTCCTCTCTGCTCATTGCCCAAGGCCTCAAACTTTCCTTCAAGTGAAACGATGATTCAGATGTCTTTCTTTCAATTCCCTGCCTACACTGTCGTCTCCTCTACACAGGGTAGACCTGCTTTGCCAAACACATCCATCCAATCTGCACGCATAACCCCCACGTTCCAGTGGCCTATTGTTTTAACTGTCCACCTTGCTCACGCACAGATATCCCTGCTGTACTGTTCAATGAAGCTGAAGGAACAGCACCTCCTCTTTCGATTAGGCGTTTTGCAGCCCTCTGGTCTAAACTCTAAACTCCATTTCTTTGCCTATTTCGTTTTTGCTTGCAGGCTCTAGCATAATTGTTAGTGCAAGAAAAGAAACAGAAAAAGTGCCTTATCACCATTGCCTTCAGCCTCTAAGATAAACTCATCTGCCATTCAAATTGTCCTGATTCTTTTTCCATTCTCCCACCTTCCCTTTGCTCAAAACCTACTATATCTTTAACTTGTCCCAAATCTAATGAGGTCATTGACCAGAAAAGTTAATTCAAATCTCCACAGATACTGCATGATCCAAGTATTTCCAATATTCTTTTCAGATTATCAGCATCTGCCATATTCTGTTTTCCTCATATTGCACTTTTGAGGTTCTCTGACACAGACACACTGTTCACTTGAAGGTTGCTGAAATTGCCAGGAGACAGATGAGAAGCTGAGAATTAAAGATAATTGGACGTGTAATGTTATCATTATATGATATTTCTGGTACGTGGAATTTATATTTTGAAGGTAGCTAGGACTGGTTATACAAAAAGTCTGTTAGACAATGTCAACATCTAGTTACACAACAAAACTGATGCAACTTGTCTTACAAAAGTGCATTTCAGCAATCTTTTATTTAAAATACATAGGAATAAAAAATATGTACAAATGAAAAATAAAGTAAGCATGACTTCATAACCCACAGTGAAACAAGAGCTAAATTGACAAATTTACTTTTGTACACATTAGGAAAGCCATAACACTCTGCATTCTTTCAACAAGATCCTTGTTCTTACACTTCACTGTTCAATGTAGCAGTGCCATAGATGTTGACTATTTAGTCGAGTTTATGGATGTAAATTCAACGTCTCTAGTTTTGGCCAACCAGCTAGTGAAATGAATAGGGTTTAAGTAATAAAAAAAAAACCTAGATTATTTAAACGTATATTACAAAATAGTTTTACAACCGGGTCAAATAATTTACAGGATCCTCTACTTAAGATAGTGTTGGTGGCAGGTACAACATTATCACAGACATTACCTAACTGCATTACACCAATGCATTACCCTGTGGAATTCTCACTTTTGTTCAAGAAATATGATCGTTCTATGATAACAGCAACAAACCAAAACACAAATTGAAGTCATAAACAGAGAAGATATAAAATCCTGATTCAATCTCACCTATATTTACAAGTCCCCATGTATTAATAGAGGCCAAAGTAGCATCTCTGACCCAAATACCAGCATATGGGAATGGCCTAACTCAAGAACATGTTTTAATGTTTGAAGAGTTAAAGTACTTAAGTTACCAATGTCAGTTCTGCATGTACTGAAATTAATGGAAAAAGACAAAGACAGTCATGGATGTAGGTTTTTGTATTTTTAAATAAAAGCATTCCATTTTCCACATTGAGAATTACTTTAAGTTGAAGGTGTCTGAACTGTACCAATGGTGGCCAAAAACAAAAGCTATTAGTGTTTCTGATTTTGGAAACTATATACAAGCCTGCAGGGCAAAATGACATGTGGACTGTGCCTCTAATTACAATCTGCCAGGAGTTCTGGAGAAACACATATGGCAGATGGGTCTCAAGGCATATAGTGGTCCCCTAAGCTCTATCTTCAGGTATTGCTGGAATCTTTGTAAGGCGAATGCTCATTATAGCTTGCATACCTGAAAATAGCATTAGGAGGACCCTGTCCTACATTTAAAAATGCTGTTAAAGATGACAAAATTCTTGCTTTGAATTCTTGCTAAGTAGTATCTGAAAAACAAAAATACTAGACCCGATGCCTTTTATGGTGGTTTTAAAGTATACTTGTATAACCCTCCTTACAAAATACTGTAACATGTCAAAATGTCTGTATCATTGTGCTTGGTATATGCAAGTACACAGGAGCAAATGCAGAACTCCAGGAACATACAATAAAACTGTTAGAAAGGTTGAATGTTATGTGAAGACTGAGGCAATGGAGATGATTTTGATAATGAAGTCACTACAAGATCGCCACTAAAGTCAAGGCCACGTCCTTCCTTTTCCTGAAAAGTAAATATAGTTTACATTAAGAATAATCTATTTTTAAGTCATTAGTCAAAAAGTTAAAATCATTGTGTGCATTCAAATTGGTCACAAATTAAAATGGAAATAAATTTAAACATCAGATTTACATTCGACAATGACTTCTTGCTATGAGGAATCCCAATAGAAAAATGTTCAACAAAATAAGAAATTAATCAGTCCAATTCCCCTTCCTCTTTAAAAATATAGATACATTTCTTTCCCCTCTCGGCTAATCATCGCGTGGAGAAAAAGTTTTCCTATTAGGTACGATCAATCATCTGTTCTATTTTCCATAACTACATTATTGAGAAGCACTTTACATTATCAGTATTTAAGATAATGTTAATCTTAATTGAAAAACCACCATGGCCAGGAAGATCTCGTCAATATAGTCAATAACTAGTCAATATAGTGTGCAGCTGGAGGAACACAGCAGGTCAGGCAGCATCAGAGGAGCAGGAAAGTCAATGTTTCGGG